TGCCCACACAGCAGGGAGCTGGGAAACCTTGGTAGTTTCCCATTGGAGGGCAGGATCGAATAGGGATGATCACCCCTTGGAGACCACAAAAGGGAGAGTCTCCAAAGACCTGAAAGTTGATAGAGTGGGGACCAACTTGGTCCTTCTCACTGTCAGGTTGGACCTTTTTCCCCTTAACGGCAGATGTGCCCCGGACATTCCCGGGGAATTTACCCATCTGGCTAAAAAAGGCAATAGCACTATAGACTATGTCCTGGTCTCAAGAGCCTTTTTGCCCTATGTCATCTCCTTTAAAGTGGATGACATGATATTTAGTGACCATCTTCCCCTTACCTTGGACGCACTCCTGAACAGACCACAAAATCATCTTACCCATGCTGCCCTAATAGCTTCCAATACCAGAAGGTCCCTGATGGTATCGAAATGTCGAATACCTTGGCCTTATCCCACGCGAGCTTTTATGATCAAGAGTCAGCTAAAAACCTGCTAGCTTTAACTAGTTCTAAGACCACTCCCAGTGCGCTCTTGACCGCCTTTACGGATTGCTCGAGCGACTTAATAGCCTCTTTTAAGACCCCCTACTCTTACACTTGGTAGAGCTTCTCGGAGGAAGTGGGCCCCCTGGTTTAATATACAGTGCAAACAAGCCAGGAACCGATTGAGATCCATATATATCCTTTGTGAAAATTCTGGTTCGTTGAGAGCCCCTCCTGCTTACTTTATGGTTAAGAAGGCATATAAGTCTGCTCTTTTAAGAGCCAAACAAAATTGGCAACAACTAAGGTGGAACTCCTTATTAGCTGCCGCGCAATCCCGTAATCCTTGTGATTTTTGGAGTTTGCTGAATAGAAGGCCAACTAGTAGGTTTATTTACTCTATATCTGCCTCCACATGGGAACTCTTCCTACGCCAAGTCTTTTACGACGCAGACTCGCCATCCTTTACAGCGTTAGATTTCTCCCCCCCCCCCGAACAACTCCCTAGATGGCCTCCTGTGAACCCCTCTACTATCTCGAAGCTAATTCGACAACTCAAATCGGGGAAAGCCCCCAGCCCTGACCTTATCCCCGCTGAGGCCATTCAAGCCCATAAGAACTGGTGGATTACTGTCCTTAGTGAGGTATTTAATGCAATTAATCAAACAGGCATTATCCCTAAGGTTTGGAAGGATGCCATCATTGTGTCAATTCATAAGAAAGGTTCCCCCTCCAATCCAGGCAATTTTCGAAACATCAGTTTATTGTCAGTATTGGGGAAACTCTATGCCCAGTTCTTCCTGTCCAGGCTGGAGTGCTGGGTTGAGGAGGCTGGTCTGCTCAGTCATGAACAGGCGGGGTTCAGGGCAGATCATTCTACTATTGACCATGCTCTGATCCTATACCATCTAGCCTTAAAATACTCTACCCCTAGGAAAGGCCGTCTCTGTGTTGCCTTTATAGACTTAAAGGCTGCTTTTGACAGTGTTCCCAGATATAAACTGTGGGGCAAACTCCTTTCCTGGGGCATCGATAACAGACTTCTCTGGCTCATCTCCCAACTGCACGAGGGAACGGAGGCAAAAGTGCGCCTTACCCCCCAAGGGGACCTTTCCAACGCCATCCCTGTTAATAAGGGGGTCAGACAGGGATGTATATTGGCACCCCTTCTTTTTAACTTATATATTAGTGATTGGAGAAGGGCGTTAATGGTCCAACTGGATTATATCCATGCCCCCAGATTAGCTGACTACAGGTGCCCGCTCCTGCTCTATGCGGACGATGCTGCAATTCTTTCATTCTCTCGGGTGGGTCTGCTTAGAGCCCTTAAAATCCTTTCCAACTATTGTTGCACCAACCAACTATTTATCAACCATTCTAAGTCTAAGATTATGATTTTCTCAAGAAGCAGGAAAAACTATCAATGGAAGCTCGATGGCATACCAGTGGAACAGGTCCATAGATTCCAATATTTAGGCATTCTTTTCCAATCTAATGCCATGTGGCTTGCACAGATCAAGTCCCTCCACACCAAGGCCAAGGCCATTACGCATGCCCTTCTGCAATTCTTTTACACAGAGGGAGCCCAACATATTCCCTCAGTATTGAAAGTATATAGGGCAAAGGTGATAGCTGCCATTACATACAGCACCCCCCTTTGGGTTCAAACAAATATTTTCCTCCTTGAGTCAGTTCAAAGCCAGTTCTTATGCCGCCTAATGGGAGTTCCCCCCTGTGTGAGTAATGCTGCAATCCGCTTGGAACTGGGCACACCATCTCTCGCTACTGTTCTGTGGAAGTGTGCTATTGGCTACTGGCTGACCCTGTGGATCAGACTTTCAGACTACTATTTAGGCCAGTGCTTATGGCGGGATAACTTCCACAGTCCTTGGGCCCACAATATTCACACCAAACTTATGAAGATAGGTATCCCCCCATTGAAGCCCTTATGCTTGGCCCAGATGCAGCCAAATCGCTGATATTTCAGTGATTGGATGATATTGAAAGACAACAGAACCTGGCACTTGGTGCGGGAGTATGTTCTCCATTTTCTCTTGGTATTACTCCCCGAATGCACCCCCCCAAATATCTCTCTACGCTATCCTTTGTTAAATACAGGTTGGCCTTTCTAAAGGCACGTTTTAATGTGATCCCCTCAAATGTCCTAGATAGCAGGTGCTCGGGGTGTGTGAAATCTACCCACTGTTCATGTGACGGCCGATCTCCGGAATCGTTGGCTCACATTGTATTTACATGCCCCCATTATCGGGAGGTAAGGTCAGAACTTATCTCTCCCATTTGCCAAAGATTTCCTGGATTATCTGAAAATCTTAGTCTTCGCTTCTTACTCCAAGATACTGATTCTAAGATTACACTAAAGGTAGCAAAATTTTTTGCTGCAGTCTTGGGATGTAAGAGCTGGGGGAAGGGATGGGCTGGACCCATTGACTGAGGTTAGCCTTATTGATCGCCAGCGGTTGAGTTAGTTGGTGGTTGTATAAAGTGCCGATGTGTGGATTTTATGCAAATTGCAATATAGTATTTTCTACCTATGTACAATTTTAATCAACTATAGTCCATATAGATTGGAGCTAAAAATTTAAAATACATGAACTGTAAGTCTGACAGGGTGATTTCCACCACTTATCTTGTTGCTGCTCTGCACTTCAGTCTGGTCGTGTGCCAGCATTGTGTCTTGGATGTTTTGGTTTTTTTGGTCTATGACCGCAATAAAGTATGCTGCTGCTATTTGATCATAAAGAAACCAATGTAACATTTATCTGGCTGGCATAGATAGTCATACTTAGCTTACAGACAGTACAAGTTCAAAGCAGTGGATCGTCACAAAAAAATTGCCTTGTTGGCATTTTGATATGTGTATGTTACTTTTCTTTCAGTAATTAAGTAATTAAAAATACCTCTGTGATTGCTTTTACAAAAAACACTTGCACATCGAACTATATTCGCTCTTCAATCCCACGCACAGCAATGTTAAACTTATTTTAAGCTATCCTGCTCTCTGTACAGGATAGTGGAGGACAGAATGGGATTTCAGATTTCTTCTGTAATTTAGAAGATGAAACAAAACTATGCCTCTCACCCTTATCTTAGGAACACTCACTATAAACATAAGTATTAAATCCTACAAAGAACAAATGTAAATGTTAAGATTGACTTATTGTATCCAGTTTTGATCAATGTGGTATATTTGATGTAGAGTAGAAAGTTTGACCATCCAAACAACTGGACTGGGCAAAAGGAAATCAAAAAGGTATAGTTAGTGCCTTCCATAAATTTGAGACTATGGTTCTTATCACACTCAAAATATGGCTAAGGGCAAGGAATTGAGTACCGTAGTCCAAAATATTTGAAAGCACCACTTCCCCTTCTGAGTCCATGCTATCTAAAGCATTAGCATCCTTTTTGTCCAGGATCCAATGCAAACAGCTGCTAATTACTTTTAGAGATGGGTCTTCTGTTAAGGGCCACATTCCCTGGGTGATATTTACTGGGAATCATACCCATTGTTAGGAGAGGCCAGAATACCAATATCCTACCAATCTGCTTTTTCTCTTGTTATTTAAGGCATATTTAAGGCACTTAAAACAACTTTAACATTGTTAAGTGGTTTACATGGCACAGAGGTTTTCCTCAATGGAGTTGTGGAATTCATTTCATTTTGAGATGAAAAATGGTTTATTTCATAACAAAGAACAATTATTTTCTTTACAGAAGTTCTCTAATAGATTTTTTTTGTTTTTTGAACAGTAACCTGTTCTTACTACATTTATTTATTTCCCATCATTCTGGATTTCTTTCAATTTGTTCCTCAAAATAGCTAATATTGCAATTGTTATTTTGTTTTGTTTCATGCTATCTAGCATGTTTTAATAAATATAAAGGAAAATGTATCCTAGTTTTCTTTAAAGCACTAGCAGAAGTTTATAACAATGTTATACATACCAATTTGAGACAAGTTTTACAGAGTCCACAGTACTTACTTTTAAATAAGCAACTATACTTTGCTGCTAATGCAACCCTTTTTATTTTAGCATTGCTATATGAAACACCTCCTTGCTGTTGGAGACTCTTGTCAAGAGCTTTTCCAGAGCTTAATCTAGGCAAGATTATAATGATTGATGATGATTCCCAAAGAAACTACTTTAGAAAATGAGATTTATGCAGATTTTGGCTTCAAAATGATCTCATGAAGAAAAATACTCACCTGGCTTAAATATCAGAAGCAGTATGTATGTATGTATGTATGTATGTATGTATGTATGTATGTATGTATGTATAAAACTCTCTGTATTTTACAGATCTAAACACTTAAACTTTAATATGCAAATTATGTCCTCAGATCATTTAATTGTAAAATAAAGTTTACCTAAGGACCCATCTTCCATGGGGGATAGCATTCTTTCTACCTAAGATTCTTTCTATCTTTCAAAATGGAATACTTGTTTTAGATGCTATTATCTTCTATTGTATAGACATGGTATACAATATAAAATTACTTCTCACTTTGTCCAGCACACTTTATCTAGCAACTGTTCCATGGTAATTTTGTCCCATTCCTCTGCATGTGGTGCTTTCCATGGAGCTTCATTAGGAATCTAGGAAAGGAAAGGACATACGTGTAACCATAACACAGAGATGATCATGCAACAGTTTAAAAATCAACCAATCTTTTTATTAGATTCCAATGCTTTTTCCCCAGACTACAACAATGGAATGATTGGTCTTCAAAATTAAAGACGTTCTTGAATTGTTTTAAATTGGTCAGCTTTTATAACAATTCTGTCACTTATGTTACAGGGTTTTAATAGAGGAAGGTATTTTGCTCTGAGCTGGTATAGTAGATGAGTTGCATGAATGAATATTTTGAAGTTTGTTTTTTTTTAAGTCACCAAATGTTTACTGACCAAAGATCACTTTTTGACCATGCAGCCTACTTCATAGAGTTGCTGTTGTGGGGACAAAACAAGGAAATTCTCACATAAATCATGAATATTTTAAATCTAATTAATTAAATTTAACTAATAAACTAAATATTTGTTGGTTATCCAACGAAGCATGACTTTGTACTATAAATAATAGTCTTGAAATTGGGCTGCTCAAGAAATTGGGCCTGTTTCATTCATACTCTCATAAGTAATAGAAAAATCAACCCCTTTCCCCCATGGAGGTACAGAGGCATTTTGGAAGTAGAACAGGTAAATGGAAACAGACTTGCATTCTGGAGAACAAGCTGCTTTACCTAGTTTTGTTGATGTTCACATTAAAAATTAACTCCTCAGTAACTTTAAGATGTATAGACTTCAGCTTCCAGAATTCCCCAGCCAGCTTTTTGACATCCATATCTCAAGTTGCAACTTGTCCAAATCTTACCTCTTTCCCCATTTCATCCAGTGTCCTCCACAGATTGTTATAGTCCAAATATGTAATGGGATTCCACATTGGAGGGAAAGGCCCCTTGAAAGGATAAGATTTGCCCTATAAGGTCAATGAAAGAAGAAAGAACTCAAAACGGATTGTTATTCCACCTAGCTACAATTAAAAGGTCCAGAAAATGACGTGAATTCTAATGCACATCATTTCCATTATACTTCTGTATGGACCACAGTCGGAAAAAGGAGAGTAAAACTCTCCTTTTCATATTAGTGCTAAGAGGTTGTATTAGAATACCATCTACTGTATAAGTGGGCAGCCTCAGTGGTGAAATGTAAAATTTGTTACTACCAGTTCTGTGGGCGTAGCTTGTGGGGTGGGGGGGTAATGTGACTGGGTGGGCATGGCCAACTTTTTTTTTTAACTTTTAAAAGCATTTTTTCTACAATCTCTTCAGCAGAAGAGGTTGTTAAAAAATGCTTTTAAAAGCCTCTGACGATCAGGCAACTTAGCTGGGATCGTTAGAGGCTTTTAAAAGCATTTTTTTTCCTATAACCTCCTCGGCCGAATTGGTTGCAGAAAAAATGCTTTTAAAAGGCTCTGATGATCCCAGCTGAGCCGCACAATCATCAGAGGCTTTTTTTTTTACTTTTAAAAGCATTTTTTTGGCAGAAGAGGTTGTAGAAAAAATGCTTTTAAAAGTAAAAAACCCAGCCTCTGATGATCGCGCGGCTCAGCTGGGCCTGGGGGGGCTGCAGGGATTTTTGCTACCGGTTCTCCGAACCACCCACCACAATCGCTACTGGATCGCGTGATCTGGTCCAAACCAGGAGCATTTCACCCCTGGGCAGCCTAGGTAAGAACAATTTGAACAACTAAATGAGCCAAGAGAGAACAGCAGAAACAGCAGGAGCATTCAAAGTCATGAAAAGGGGATGTTGAAGAAGTTGCAGTTTCTCTTTCTGTTCTACTTTCAACTCTGACTTAGCTGTTTTCCAAAATGTTAGGAAATTATGTCAGCAACTACATCCCTTTGGTCATGACTTGTACCATCAGGTAGAATCAGCAACCACATACAGTAGATAGGAAGCCTATATGCCATCCACTTTTCTTACCCCAAACTCTTCACTATCCAATCCTGTCTTTTAAACTATATTTACTAGTACCAATATTTTGGCAATAGCAAGGGGAAAGAGTATAGGAGATTTATCTTCTCTCCAGATCAGTACCTGATGCTATAGGATTTGGCGGTCTTTGGGAAATCAAGTGTTAATTAAGAGGTTTACACTTCTACATAAGAATACTTAAGAATTCTTTTCCAATTTCAGATAAATCCAGGATTATTGGGAATACCAACTAGAAAACATCAGAATGCTTATTCACTATTTAGAACATGTAAGAAATGCTTATTACCATCTAGAAATGTTCATAATAGTGATAAGCCATTGTTGTTGTTAGTCACGAAGTCGTGTCTGACCCATCGCGACCCCAGGGACAACATTCCTCCAGGCCTTCCTGTCCTCTACCATCCCCTATAATCCATTTAAGATCACTGCTTCAGTGACTCCATCCAGCCACCTCATTCTCTGTCGTCCCCTTCTTTTGCCCTCAATCGTTTCCACCATTAGGCACTTCTCCAGTGAGCCCTTCCTTCTCATTAGGTGGCCAAAGTATTTGAGTTTCATCTTCAGGATCGGGCCTTCTAAAGAGCAGTCAGGGTTGATCTCCTCTAGGACTGACCGGTTTGATCGCCTTGCAGTCCAAAGGGCTCGTAGGAGTCTTCTCCAGCACCATAGTTCAAAGGCCTCAATTCTTTGATGCTCAGCCTTTCTTATGGTCCAACTTTCACAGCCATACATTGCAACTGGAAAACCATAGCCTTGACTATACACACTTTTGTTGGCAGGGTGATGTCTCTGCTTTTTAGTATGCTGTCTAACTTTGCCATAGCTTTCCTCCCCAGGAGCAAGTGTCTTTTAATTTCATGGCTGCAGTCCCCATCTGCGGTGATCTTGGAGCCCAGGAAAATAAAATCTGTCACTACTTCCATTTCTTCCCCATCTATTTGCCAGGAATTGAGAGGGCCGGATGCCATGATCTTAGTTTTCTTAATGCTGAGTTTCAAGCCAACTTTTGCACTCTCCTCCTTTACCCACATCAAGAAGCTCTTTAGTTCCTCTTCACTTTCTGCCATTAGAGTGGCATCATCTGCATATCTGAGGTTGTTGATATTTCTCCCGGAAATCTTAATTTCAACTTTTGATTCATCTAGCCCCGCCTTTCTCATGATGTGCTCTGCATATAAGTTAAATAGGCAGGGCAACAATACACAGCCTTGCCGAACTCCTTTCCCAATTTTGAATCAATCAGTAATTCCGTGTCCGGTTCTCACTGTTGCTTCTTGACCCGCATATAGGTTTCTCAAGATACAAATAAGATGGTCTGGTACTCCCATCTCTTTAAGAACTTGCCACAATTTGTTGTGATCCACACAATCAAAGGCTTTAGCATAGTCAATGAAGCAGAAGTAGATGTTTTTCTGGAACTCCCTAGCTTTCCCCATGATCTAGCGTATGTTGGCAATTTGATCTCTAGTTCCTCTGCCTGTTCAAAATCCTGCCTGTACTTCTGGTAGTTCTCAGTCCACATACTACCGGAGCCTAGCTGGTAGGATTTTGAGCATAACTTTGCTAGCATATGAAATGAGTGGAATAGTGCAATAGTTTGAACATTTTTTGGCATTGCCCTTCTTTGGAATTGGAATGTAAACTGACCTTTTCCAATCCTGTGGCCACTGTTGAGTTTTCCAAATTTGCTGGCAAATTGAGTGTAGCACTTTTACTGCATCGTCTTTCAAGATTTTAAATAGCTCAGCTGGAATACTGTCACCTCTACTAGCTTTGTTATTGCTCAGACTTCCTAAGGTCCATTTGACTTCACATTCCAGGATGTCTGGCTCAAGGTCAGTGACCACCCCATCGTGGTTATCAGAGATGTTAAGCTCGTTCTTGTATAGTTCTTCTGTGTAATTTTGCCACGTCTTCTTAATCTCTTCTGACTCTGTTAGAACCCTGTCATTTTGGTCTTTTATTATGCCCATCTTTGCATGAAACGTTTCCTTCATATCTCCAATTTTCTTGAAGAGATCTCTGGTCCTTTCTATTCTATTGTTTTCTTCTATTTCTTTGTGCTGTTCATTTAAGAAGGCATCCTTATCTCTTCTAGTTATTCTCTGGAATTCTGCATTCAATTGGGTGTACCTTTCTCTTTCTCCCTTGCCTTTCGCTTCCCTTCTTTCCTCAGCTATTTATAAAGCTTCCTCAGGCAGCCATTTTGCTTTCTTGCATTTCTTTTTGTTTGGGATGGTTTTAGTTGCTACCTCTTGTACAATGTGATAAGCTATATAAGGTAATATATAAGGATTTTTTTTGCCAGATTAGCCTTTTTGTTTACATCAATACAGCTTAATTGCTTTCTATTCTTGATATACTTGGATTTGGTTAGGCTGCTTTCATAAGCATTTGATAATGTATCTGTTTCAATTGACAAATTAATTAAAAATACAAGTTTAGCATGATAATCACATGTTAATAAATTGATCACAGTATGTATAATTGGATAGGAAAGATTTTATGGGCCAGTGTTACATCTCAATTTATTTGGTATCTTTAATAATAATGTCTGATAGAAGACAAGAATTGTGTTCATTTAAATGTGCAATCGTTCAGGTTTGAAAGAGGGATTCTCTCTTTTGGCACTTTTACTTGTATACTCAGGATTCTATAATCCTGAGGAGCAAAAAGACCTTGGAAAGTCTTCAGAACCCATAATGCCTTAGACATGAAAGCCAGCTGGGTGATTTTGGGCTAGTCAATCTCTTTCAGCCCAACACACCTCCCAGATGTGGAAAAAAATAGAAGGAGGAAGGTATATCCACTGCCTTGACTTATTTATAAAAAAATCATTGATTTATAAATAAAGACAGGATAATAAATAATAAATAAGTAGCATAACAAACCTCTATGATAATTAGACATTATCTAATAAAGAAGAGATTGAATTACAAATAGGTTTAATCTATTTTGGCTAGTATGGCTCTAACTTAAATCTCTTTTGGAATAAGGATATAAAAAGTCAGCATCTTTTTAAACTATTTTTGAAAATATAATTATTAATTACTTTCCCAACCTAAAGGACAATGTCAAAAAGTCAAAACTTCCTAGACGTATAAGAATCTTGGTTGCATTTTGTCAGCATGAGACTGCATTTCTCTCTTACATCATGACAGTTGAAACCGAATGCCGTGTTTTTTTCTTGTCTGTCCCATGTTTCAACAGACTGTTTGCCCTGAGGTTCATGGCCTTGACACTGGTTGTTGGTGTTGACATAAGGGACAATTCTGCACTGAGGACTATTGGCTTTCAACTTATCTCTCACATGGACATTTGTATATATTTCCAAGTTTATAGTATTTGCCAACAGAAGCAGTGGCAGCATCTAGCTAGAGACAATATTCTACAGTGTTCAAGAGATATATAATAAATACATATATACAGAATCTTGTGATACTGATCCATGAATGCTTAATGAAAAATCTGATACCTATCAAGTCAAGTCTGATAAGGCCATATGTAAACCTCTTAGAAACAATAGATTGCTTATTACAGAAGAATTAGAACATGTTCAAAACCATATCATTGGAATTAATAATTTACAGAGTTAATTTTGAAGAAGTTTATTAAATTGGGGTAATTAGAACAATTCAGCACAAAAAGAAGTGTCACAACATGAAAATAAAATTGGTATTTATGAGTTTGATTAGAAAATATGAGAAAAGGTAAAATTTAGGATTTTTTAAATTTAAAAGCAGAATTAAAATAAATTCCTAAAAGAAGAGTGTAATCAATGGTGAGTTTCAAAATTTTTTATTACCGGTTCTGTGGGTGTGGCTTGATGGGCATGGCATGGCTTGGTGGGCGTGGCTTGGTGGGCATGGCAAGGGAAAGATACTGTAAAATCTCCATTTCCTCCCCACTCCAGGGGAAGATTACTGCAAAATCCCCATTTCCTCCCGATCAGCTGAGACTTGGGAGGCAGAGAATAGATGGGGTCGGGGCCAGTCAGAATTTTTACTACCAGTTCTCTGAACTATTCAAAATTTCCACTACCAGTTCTCCAGAACTGGTCAGAACCTGCTGAAACGCACCTCTGAGTTTAATGATAAACGTGAGATGCAAATATCATGAAAATCTGCAGAGATCGGGTTCATGATGAGCCTTTAAAAAAAAGGCATATTGAGAAGTTAATTGGTTTATGAATTGATAAGACGAAGTAGACATTTGTCAGAAAGTAGGCCTATTTTTGTCTGCTGTGCTGTTTTGTCTCCTCTAAAAATTGGCTTCATGCCAGGGGAAACAATCCACTTATTTTAATTCAACATTGGAAAAATAAGATAAAGTATAGATGTTGATATTATCTGATGATACTGTTTTGGTGGTATGGTACTTGCTAATGTATGCGCTTTTATAAAAGATTTAAAAGAAGATAATGGAATCTACCAAAAGTCTTTGAAAAAGCTTGTCTACATTGTTTGCCCTAGTTTAAATTATGTACGGGCCCTGTGCCAAGATGAGAGCTTTCAACTTTCAATATATATATATATTGGTTAATTCATAAGATCTTAGCTTAGTTTTATGAATTCATCTCAAGTGACCTATGTAATGCCAGAGAAGCGGGAGGGATATTTACGTATTATCAACATCTGCTATTATAATTATTGTAAAATTCATGAGATTTGCCAAATACAATGTAATAATATTAGTTTATATTTCTGCATCTCTCTAACATTAAGGTAAATGGTCCAAATAATAATTACTAACTTTCCTCTATGAAATAATACAAACTAAATTTGTATAATAGGGCAATCAATCTGAGGCTTATATTAAACAATTATGTACTAAGTCCTGGGATTGGTTTGGAGACATAATTAAGGAAACTTTCCATAAATTTAAATTTCTCAGTGTAGCCAGTGGGTGGGTCTTTCTCCAAAAAGTTTGCTTTTACTAGGAAATTGCACTTTTAAATTACAGTATATACTACTAAATTTTGCTCCTTGTTTTTTGAGGGAGAAAAATGGAAAAAATTCACTATCAAACATAATTTTTGCCAATGAATTTTTGTGTGCAACACAGAATGGTCTGAAAGCCACAAAATTGGCATTGTGCACTATGTATGGCTCCCTGAATTTTCTGAAGGCAATGTACATATGGGGTTCTCTCCCCGCATTTTATCCTTACAAAATTCACTATGGTTTGGACTGACAATTGGTGTTAGCTATGTTAGCTAACATAATAATATTCATGACTAGAGATCAACCGTTAAACAGATTTGATAGGAGATACCTCCAAAAGAAATAGCCAAAATATTTCTGCCAACTAGCTAACCTACTGTATATATCATCCCAGCTGTGTCTATATTTCAACCTTTATGCTAAATAAAATATTCTGCCTATTTTGATTTCCTGAAATAATACAAATTGAAGAAAACTTTTGGAAATTATACAAATTGAAGAAAACAATTCAATCATATTTTTAGTCAAAATGATGTTGCTTATTAACCTTCAGAATTCTTTCATATCTTGTTAATCTGAGTATTTCACAATCCATTCCAAATTATAACATTTCAAAAATTATTAAAGCTTTGTGAGTCTCCCACATCATAAAAGAAGAAGTTAAGAAACAGTTGCTCTTACTTTGACATGATGAATAAGATGCTCAACTTCATTCACTTTGTAAGTCTCTAGTCCTAAGTCCTTAGACAGCCGTAAAACACGATTTTGTGTGGGTCCCACATATGCTCCTCCCAAGTCAACATACTTGACATGCTTATTCTGGTTGAGGGGAGAAAAATAGCATAATGGTAAATGAATATATGTGTCCCTAACATGAATGGAAAAAAGGGAAATGTGTGTCAATGTATCTATCATTGTACAACATTGATAATTTTTTGCATAATAATTATAATATCTTTTTTTCCTGGTCAGAACGGTAATCTTTTAAGGAATCTGCATATACAACAAGGATAAGATCTTGGCTCAAAGAAGTATGATCCAATTTTGATGAAGTTGTTCATGCTTGGGTAACATTAATTTTTATTCATTTATTTGTTTAACCAGTGTTTATAGTTATCCATTCAGCATATGTTTAAGAGTAGCATATCTTATTTAAAAAATAAAAATAAATCCATAAGTTTACATCATAAAAAGACAAAAAACATAAACCAACCAGAGATATATAGTCGCAGAAATTATTGGGGGGGGGAACTCATCCAAGGTCATATCTTTCCCAAACCCAATGTTTGAATAAGAACCATTCTTTAATGCTCTCCTAAATGCTTTCAGAATTGCTTCCAGGTAGATTTCAATGGCCATGCGAGTGGTGGGCTGACGCCACGCGCAGCTCAACTTGCACAAGTGGCGGGCCGGCACACACGCACATGTAGCTTGACTTGCAGGAGGCCGTGGCAGTTGTGTGCATGCCGCTAGCCACTTGTGTGCATGTATGTGCATGCCAATCTGGTTCCCCTCCCCCCCCTTCACCAAGCCACAAAGGTTAGTGACTTCTGTTCTAATTCATAAGCTGCACTAGTTACCAGTTCACTCCCAGTTGTTGGTCTTACTTATGAAAATCTTCGTGTATAGAGCTAGGCTATTTGCAGAACTCTGTGTCTCAATCAGTGGTGGGTTGCTACCGGTTCGCACTGGATCGGGCGAACCAGTAGTGGCAGGGGCGGGAGGCTCCGCCCACCCACCCAGATGCTTCTGCACATGCGCAGAAGCACTGCAAGTGCGCACGTGCATGAGTGAACCAGTAGTGACGGGATTTGGAACCCGCCCCTGGTCTCAATTTTTTCTATCTGTCCAGTAAGATCTATAAAGAGTCAGTATGCTCTAGGGCAGTTGTGTCAAACTCAATTTCATTGAGGGCCACATCAGGGTTGATCTTGGGGACCTGGGGTGGGTGTGGCCAGGGTGGGCATGGCCAGCTCAACATCACTCATGTTGGGGCTACCTTTGCTGGCCCAAGTGCTTTGCCAGAGAAAACGGGCTCCTGAGCTCCGTTTTCAACTGCCACGGCCTCCTGCAACCCTCTGCCAGTGAAAACAGAGCTAGGGAGGGCCACGTGCAGTCCTCCCAAGCTCCATTTTTGCTTGCAGAAGCACCACGCATGGCCCAGTTGTGAATAGGCAGTGGACCAAGGCCTGGAGGTTGGGAACCCCTGAATTAGAAGAGTTACATTGAGCATGAAGCACCAATAACTATCCATGCCACTGTGTCCTGGATCAATTGAAATTCCCAAGGGGTCATCAAGGGCAGCTCCATTAACAGAAATCAAGTCATAAAGTGACTAAGGCATGAGTGGCTGTCAGCAGGGCTTCCTGGTTAAAGGAGCAGATGCAACTGGAACATGCAGAACCAATTTGAACAGCAAAATACTGGGAAACCCTACGCTTTTACATTCTATAGTGGAAAATTACACAGACACAGAAAGACATACATACACACAGTACTTACTCTTACTGTGTAAGTTCTGCCTCCAACCCTGTCACGGGCTTCTAAGACTACAACATCCAGTCCTGAGTCATACAATAACTTGGCTGCAGATAAACCTAAACAACAACAACAACAACATTGCACAATGCCACAAAAATTTTCACAGCAATTTAAGTATTGCAATAAATAAGCTACAAATAAAAAATGTGAAGAATAACTCGTTAGCATTAAATTAAGAATATAAGACCAAAATCTTAAAGTATTTCCAAATTCTACTTTATTCTAGTTTTAGTTGATTGAATCTAGATGAGACTTTTATTATGTAACTGCCTATTTTAGTAATGAAGCTTTAAAACAGATTCTCAGAATTTTGTCCTTCCATATTTTTTCACTTTCACTTTTTTCTCCTTAGTGCATTTCGATAAGTAATGTATGAACTGTCCCTTCTGAAGCACGCTATAAACTTGATATTGTTCCAAGAGCTACAGGAATAACGTTGGATTCAATGGACATATTAAAATGTCTAACAATTTGAATATTTAACATCAAGAACAGAGTTAATTACTGTAAGTGTGAAGTACAGAACATTTAGTATTTAAGCTAGTGATTTTCAGTAATGCTAGCATACCTTGAAATTCCACAGGGATCACCTAAGAACTCACAGCTTTTCTGGGCTTACTACTTATGGGAGGAGATGGTCTTTTTCCCAATTTGGAATGACAAGCCAGAAAAAGAGTTCAAACAAGAAGGCGTGAGAAAGGTAGAAATAAAAAAGAGCTCTACATATGATAATGCTGATATTGATGGGGATCTGTGATGGTTCCTCCACTTTCCTGAAGCTGCCTGATAAGGCCAGATACCATTCTTTCATTGTAGAAAATTGAACTTTATAATAAATCCAATGTAACATTTTCTACAGAAGAGTTTTTGTCAATATCTGCATTTTAGATAAACATAAAGGTTTCCCCTGACCAGTTATGTCCAACTTTAGAGGCTGGTGCTCATCTCTGTTTCTAAGCCAATGGAGCCAGTGTTGTCCAAAGACATTTCCGTGGTCATGTGGCCAGGCTGTTACCTTTCCACTGAAGTGTTACCTATTTATCTACTCGCATTTGCATGCTTTTGAACTGCTAGGTAGGCAAGAGCTAGGGCAAGAATGGGAGCTCACCCCTCGCACGGCCCTCGGATCTTGAAGCATGGCAGAACAGCTTTCTAGCTGTCAAGCTCATCTGCTGAGCCATTTGGGGGGGTCACACTTTACCTTAATGAAAAAGGTGCTACAATGATCATTTTCAAACATGGAAGAACTTATGCCAGAATAAATGGGAAGACATTTAAATGAATCCAACATTATTGTATGAAAAATGGCACAGAATGGTTAGGAGGACATGGGAAAAGAGACGTAGTGTTTAACAGCCAAACTATCCATTCTGGGGTAGGGGTAGGAAGATCAAGAATACACAAAACACTGAAAATTGATCAAACAGCTGGTGTTTCTTCATAAGAATTAAATAACTGCCATCAGAGATCAAATAAAAATATTTTCAACCACTATTGATGGGCTTGAAAAAAAGGGAAAAATAGTTTAAAAAGGAACATACATGTCTTTAGAAGACTCATATTAAGAATTATAATATAAGTCTGTTGGAATGCAAATATTTTGGCCAAAAACTGTGGCCTCAGACAGATGAAGAAAAAATGCAGCAGCTGTATACATTAAAATTTTATTGTTGACTCTAAAAAAAACAAATCCAGGATGAGGAAGGTTTATAATGCTACATTTTTAGACTGAAATTGGAAAACTAATAATTGCCTTAATTTATGTTCCAAATGATAACAAAATTATTTTTGTTAAAATTACCTGTAAAATTACATGTTCTAAGTTTTATATTACATGCACCCATACATGCACCCACTCATGTGCATGTATGTGCGTATGTGCATGTGTGTGCTCGCACACAGACACAAACAATTTATATGTCCCTTTTCACTCTTATGAGTGGCATATGTCTGTACATCTGTACAGCTGTACATCTCCATCCCAGACCACCCCAACGATGCCCTTGATGTGATGTCTCGCTGCCTGGAGGCCGTGCGGGTCTGGATGGGGAGGAACAGGCTCAGACTCAACCCGTCCAAGACCGAGTGGCTGTGGCTGCCGGTGTCCCAATATAGTCAGCAGGTGCCATCGCTGACTATTGGGGGTGAATCTTTGCCCCCCACAGAGAGGGCTCACAATCTGGGTGTCCTCCTGGACACACGGCTGTCTTTAGAAGAGCATATGACAGCCGTGGCCAGGGGGCCTTTTATCAGGTTCGCCTGATCCGCCAGTTGCAGCCCTTTCTGGACCAGGACGCCTTGCGCACGGTCACTCATGCCCTTGTCACCTCCCGGCTGGACTATTGTAATGCTCTCTACATAGGGCTCCCCTTGAAGAGCACCCGGAGGCTCCAACTGGTCCAGAATGCGGTCGTGCGGGTGGTTATGGGCGCAACTCGTTGTGCCCGCGTGACACCCCTCCTGCACGAGCTGCACTGGCTCCCAGTGGCCTTCCGGGTGAGATTCAAAGTGTTGGTTACCACCTTTAAAGCGCTCCATGGCATAGGACCCGGGTACCTTCGAGACCGTCTTCTGCCACCAATAGCCTCCCACCGACCAGTCCGTTCCCACAGAGAGGGTCTCCTCAGGGTGCCATCAGCCAAGTTATGTCGGCTGGCAACACCCAGGGGGAGGGCCTTCTCTGTGGGAGCCCCAGCCCTGTGGAATGAACTGCCCCCGGAAATACGTAAGATCTCCGACCTCCGGGTGTTTTGCTGCACACTGAAGACCCTGTTGTTCCGCCAGGCAGGGCTATCAATATAATAATTTTAAATTGGGGTATTTTAATTTTTGGGGTTTTAAATCGGCCAAATTTATTTAATTATTTTAATTTTTAATCATTGTTGTGTCCTGTGTTTTTAAATTGGCTGTACACTGCCCTGAGTCCTTCGGGAGAAGGGCAGTATAGAAATAAAATTATTATTATTATTATTATTATTATTATTATTATTATTATTATTATGTCTTCCTCAATCTGGGATCTTTATCAGAAGCATGCAAGACACAGCCCCAAGTGCCCCTACCACTACTAGGATCACTTTGGCATTTATTTTTTTCTTCATAAATATAATATATATTGGCTTATAGTTAAAGCATAACAAATTAAAATCAGACATTAAAACCAAAAACACACATGGGGGAGGGTCGGAGTAGATTGCGGGGAGGTGGGATCTGTTATTACTCGATCAACCACCTCCATTGCACTGATCCCCCATTGGGACCTCAAGCCAACTGGCCGAACCACATCTTTAGGCCCTTATGAAAAAATAGGAGGGTTGGGGATAACTTCATATTGGGGGGCAAGGAGAGGACAGGAGTAACAGCAGAGAAGGCCCTCTTCCTAGACCCTGCCACACAGGGATGAGATGGTCCCTCAAGTAGCCTGGGCCCATCTCATGAAGGGCTTTAAAGGTGATCACCAACACCTTGAATTGCACCCAGAAGCAAACTGGTAACCAATGCAACTCACGGAGCCGTGGTGTTACAGGGGCTGTTCTTGGGGCTCCCAAAATTGCCTGCGCTGCCACACTCTGCACCAGCTGTAGCTTCCAAATGTTCTTCAAGGGTAGCCCTATGTAGAGCATTTTACAATAATCCAACCCTGAGATGACTAGGGACTGAATAACTGAACATAGGGAGTCCTGATCCAGGAAAGGCTGCAACTGGCGCATAATACAAAGTTGTGCAAAGGCTCTCCTAGTCGCAACTGCCACTTGTTCCTCAAAGAGGAATTGCAAGTCCAGGAGAATCCCCAAAATGCAGACCATATCTTTCTGAGGCAGTGCTGCACCATCCAGAGTCAAAGATGACAAGTACTGGATCCCGGAGACCCGCATACCCAAAGCCATTCAGTCTTGCCAGAGTTCAGTCAGAAGCCTATTGTCATCCATCCAGGCCCCCACAGCCTCCAGGCACCGCGACAGTACGGCCATAGCATCACTTGGGTCATCAAGAGTGGAAATATAGTTTACTTTCGATATTCTCTCTAGTTCCTCCTTCAGGGTTCCTTCTGATACTTTTCTAGCTTCTCATACTCCTTCTTCCTGATGTTGCATGGCTATATCTATCTCTACCACTATCTTCTGGTCCTTGTCTACTACCACAGTGTTTGGTTGATTGGCCAGTACCTGCCTATCCATCTAGATGTCCCACAAGATCTTAGCCCTGTTATTCACCACAACTTTCTGTGGAACCTAGATTTGGGAGGGTCTAGCTCAGGAATGTCAAATTCACAGCCCGCAGCCCAGATGCATCATGTGCTGGCCATACCCACCCCATTTTAACAAAGGGGGGAAAGTCGTGACAAGAGTTTGACACCCCTAGTCTAGCTCATACTGTATACTGTGTGAATATTCCTGTACACAATGATAGCTACTTAGTTGTGCTTTCAGTGTATGTTGCTCCTGCCTGCACATTACACCTTGCCACTATGTGTTGGACTGTCTCTGAAGCCTTTTTGCACAGTATCCACCTTGGATCCTGTTTAATGTGGTAGACCCCTGCTTCTATGGACTTGGTGCTCAGTGCAAGCTAATGCAATAGCACTTAGACTTATATACTTCATAGTGCTTTACAGCCCTCTCTAACCAGTTTACAGAGTCAGCATATTGCCCCCAACAATCTGGGTCCTCATTTTACCAACCTCGGAAGTATGGAAAGCTGAGTCAACCTTGAGCCTGGTGAGATTCGATCTGCCAAACTGCTGGCAGCCAGTGATCAACAGAAGTAGCCTGCAGTACTGCACTCTAACCACTGCGGCACCATGGCTCACTGTGGATCTGGTGCTAATTCAATCTAAAATCCAAGTGATTCTGTGGTTCTTAGTGCCCACTGAGCAAAGATCCTGTTCCAACATATTTAGTGAGGAATCAACAACATAATGACAATTATATAAACAAACATAAACACTTCCAAGTATCCAGTAGTGGGTTCCACTTACCTTCGCTACTGGTTCAGAACTGTGAGCGTGCACATACGTGCTCACTTCGCGTGTGGGCGGCACTTCTGCGTATGCGCA